ACACTACCCTGGTGTTTCCCTTTTGCTTCACGATTATTTTTTTGTGTGTGCAAATTCAACTGATTGTTAATGGCCTTAATCTCATGAAATCAAACTATCTTTCTGTAACCATAGATTTCACCGTCTACACTAATGGTGGTTGAATCAATTAACTCCTCAATGCACTTCTTAAATAGGATTTCTTGCAAGTAATAGATGCCTGTAATATTGCTAATGGAATTTGTCAGACAACTTGACTAGGATATTGACCACTTGTGCATAGATAATGGTACTTGTTCTTGCCTTAATATATATGTCAATAAATATCTGAGGATAAATTTTGTAAAATTATCTACAATTTTTGACAAAACATTTTTCAGATTTAGAAATTATCTTCTAATGTAAATTGACAGTTTTACACCTCGATTTAAGAGAATACATGCCAGATTTTCGTACATGGATGTTGCCGCAATATGCAGGAAGAAGTACATGACATGATAGAACCCAGAAATTGAAAAAATGTTGTGTCAATTTACTTTATAATAGCATCGGGATTGATGCCTTTAGATCTCTGGCTATAATAGATCAGCCTCAAATTATCAGCGAAACTGACCATCAAAGTCGTACCTCAATAAGTATACACCATACGCGTGGATATATACCACACATTAGTTACTGAAAAAAAAAATCCCTGAAGAAGTGGAGCACTATTCTTTCAATTTCAATGGCATTATTGATTGATTGATCCATTCATCTCTAAAAGGAAATTAAAGACAATAACTTTTAGAAAGGGAAATGCGTAAATATAAAAGATGAGATGGGAGAGGCAGTGGTTATGAAATGCCAAGGTGAATTATCAAAATGGGGGACCTCTTTTGCATTTAAACCCACTAGCACTTGCGGAGAAAGAGCCAATTCTGAAATTTAATACAGGGGCCATTCTCACTNGAATTTGAATCGATGAAATAAATATTCCATCAGCAAAGAGAAGAAAAGTCATATGACAATATGCTTTTTATAGCTATAATCTCAACAGACCAAATTAGTTTTTTCATATATTTCATTAAATCCATCATCTGCTGCATCATTTCTTTCTGTGTAGTTGTGGAGCTGGAGGATGTGGCAGGGCCTGTTCGCTGCCTTTTTGCCCCTGCTCTTGGTTGCGCAGCTTCCGGACGGTCAAGGTCTTCCTATAATACTCTGAGTCTAAAACTGGGGCAGCATGAATACGGTGCTCATCATCTTGAACCTCGACTCCAGCTCTAAGGCACAAGGCTGTGATGAGATGTGGGAAACTGTAACTTGTTCGTCCTAGTTTGGAGGCCTGTTTAATGCTGTTCAAGATCATGCCTCCCACATCGATACTCTTCCCTGTCGCAATAGAGTAAAGCAAAACTGCCTTCTCGTGAGTAACTGCGCTGTAGTGCGATTTCGGCATCAATTTCGCACTGACAAAATATTGCCACAGTCGAGCCATCGGTGTCAACTGAGTTCCCTTGAGAGTCTTCTTCTGTTTCTTCGATACTTCCCACTCTGCATCCGGTTTGGCAATGACCGGAAGGATGATACCGTCCTTAAACTGTGATCTCTTAAACTGCACGTATTCATCCCGAAAAATTTCAGGCAGGTTATAGAACTCATTGATCACCCTTTCCGTAAATGGCACCTCAGTCCCTCTGACATAAACTGTACCTTCCTGACAATCCGGGAGATTGGCATAGAACTCCCTTACTAGCGGCTCTACAGCCGCTCGTTCAGGAGCACGCATAAACATCTCCCAACGTCTCCCTCTACTCCAGTCCGAGGTTTGACTCGCGGTCAATCCGCGCTCAAGAATAATACCTTTATCCTTTCTTTGGATTGCCCCCTCATATCTTTTACGGGAAGAACGTTGACAATTGTTTTGTTAATGATGAAGCCCGTAAAAAGTATGAGGGGGCAATCCAAAGAAAGGATAAGGGTATTATTCCTGAGCGCGGATTGACCGCAAGTCAGGCCTCGGACTGGAGTAGAGGGAGACGTTGGGAGATGTTTATGCGTGCTCCTGAACGAGCGACTGTAGAGCCGCTAGTAAGGGAGTTCTATGCCAATCTCCCAGATTGTCAAGAAGGTACAGTTTATGTAAGAGGGACTGATGTGCCATTTACGGAAAGGGTGATCAATGAGTTCTATAGCCTGCCTGAAATTTTTCGGGATGAGTACATGTAGTTTAAGAGATCACAGTTTGAGGACGGTATCATCCTTTCGGTCATTGCCAAACCGGATGCAGAGTGGGAATTATCGAAGAAACAGAAGAAGACTCTCAATGGAACTCAGTTGACACCGATGGCTCGACTGTGGTAATATTTTGTCAGTGCGAAATTGATGCCGGAATCGCACTACAGCACAGTTACTCACGAGAAGGCAATTTTGCTTTACTCTATTGTGACAGGGAAGAGTATCGATGTGGGAGACATGATCTTGAACAGCATTAAACATGCCTCCAAATCGGGGCGAACAAGTTACAGTTTCTCACATCTCATCATAGCCTTGTGCCTTAGAGCTGGAGTCGAGGTTCAGGATATAACGAGCACCGTATTCATGCTGCCCCAGTTCTAGACTTAGAGTATTACAGGAAGCACCTTGACTGTCCGGAAGCTGCGCAACCAAGAGCAGGGGCAAAAAGGCAGCGAATAGGCCCTGCCACATCCTCCAGCTACACAGAAAGAAATGATGCAGCAGATGATGGGTTTAATGAAATATATGAAAAAACATCAGGATTGGTTGGTTGAGCAGACCCAGATGATGCATGAGATGCAGAATAACTTTAAGGAGCTCAACGTTGACACTTTAGCATACCAATGGGTCGACTGGAACTCAGATGAGTGGATGGACTCCGAGGAAGATGAGGAAGAAGAAGAATGAGCCGGAGCACCTGTTTTTGTTTGTCTTTATGTTTATTTGATTTTGTTGTTCATTCTAAACATTAAATTCAGTTTTAATTTTTTTGTTTTGGATCTTGTTTAGTTGTTGCTGTTAATTTTTAGTTGTTGAAAGGACGAGATTAAGTTGTAATATTTTCAAGTTAGTTGTGAATTTGTGCTAATATAAGAGACACCACAGTTGACAGATTCTGAGTGATGAAAAGTCCGAGACCGGGTGTTCATTGTGGAGCGACACTTCATGGATTAAACAGGGAGCATTCTCGTACCTTTGTTTGTTTTTTTTATTTTCTATTCCTGATTTATGCATAATAGAACATTGGGGATAATGTCATATTTAGTTTGGGGGTAGGAAATAGAAATAAAACCTAGTTTAAGGGTATATTGGCTGGAAACCAGTGCCCGCCTAAAATACTGCCCAACAGTACTTGGCAACCTCTGGTATAACAACGCCACGTACGCCTTAAACTGAAGAAAAAAAAAACACTTTTATTTTTCTTTAGTTTGCTTGTTTTTGCCGATGATGAATTGTATAAATCAATGATGAGAATTGGGTTGTTGCAATTTTATTGTTGAGAAATGTTAAACATTGCTTCAAGTTTATCTTATTGACTGAATTTTGGTTGAGGTTTGTTGAGTGGTTCAACCACAATTTTCATTTATTTCGGCATGCTTAGATTCATTTTATGTGATTAGGTGAAGTTTGATAATGTTGATGGACTCTAGAACCTAGTAGAGAAGTACTTGAGGCGAAATTCTAGGATTAGACATGGTTGAGGAGATGATTTAGGCATTCTTGTTGGAACGTTTGAGCCTTTTTAGCTGACCCAGGAATGAAATTGTCCCTAGTCACCCGTTTGAGCCGTATGAATTAGTATTGCTTTATTTTTCTTGGCAAACTGAAAATTGTCCGATCCTGTTATCCTAAACACTTTGTCGTACCCTTGGGAGAATTCGGCCTTAGTGCAAACACAAAGAACGGAAAAAGAGTTGTACGAATAAGCCAAAAGAATAGTTTGGGAGTTGTGAGAAGGGCAGGAAAAAAAATAAAAAATAAAAGAGGTAGTTCACCTCAATTCAATTGATTGTTTTATTTTCATAAAAAAAAAAAAAAATTTCAGTTGCCGGGTTTAAGGGTATATCGGCTGGAAACCAGTAACCACCTTAAAAACTGTCTAGCAGTACTTTGCGATCTCAGGTTTAAAAACGCCACGTACACCTTAAACCTGCGCATTTGTGGTATCAAAAATAAGAAGGATACGAGTTTGAGGGTGGGAAATAAGTAGACATGTTGATTGTTGGTTGAAAAGAAGTGGAGTTCGATTTTACTTGAGTGTTTGTATGAGGAAAACCGAGTTCTCTTACTTTGTTTTTCCTATCCTTTTCTTGGAACCCACTACCCGAGCCTAATGTTACAAGCTTTTAAAGACCTTTTGATTCTCATCTTTGTTTAGTCCTCATTAGTGGAGAGTATTTCGATATTTAGGCTTATGGAGTCTGCCACCATTTGATAAACTTTACATTTTTGCATAAAATAATCCGGAAAGTTGGGATGTGGATTGAAGTGGGGATCACCTACTTGGTGAACCGATAGAGGAAGACAGTCGATGTAGCTTATAACTTCTTGGAGTGTTGAACATTTCCTGATAATAATGTTTCAGCCTGAGAAGGTATGTTTAACACTTAGGAGAGTTCGATTTACAATCAATGCATATGAATTTGAATTTAGTTTAATTCTTAGGTCTAACCCATAAAATCCGAATGAAGTCAAAACCCTACCCGTTTTACTTGAATTGATTTTTATCCGTGTTTACATCTTGCATTCTTAGCTAATTCGCAGTTTAGTAATTTTGTTTTAGTAATAGGTTAAATTGCTCCCATTAATCCAAAAGATTTCGGTTGCTCCAACTTGAAAACGGTAGAAAACTTAGTGCTTAGCTAACAATCCTCGTGGGAACGATACTCACTCATCATTATATTACTTTATGCGACTAGTATACTTGCTACATTTGCATGTTGTAGGAAACACGCGTCAAGTTTTTGGGAATTATAGTACTTCTGAATTCATAATGCCAGTGACAATTTTTTTTCTCTTGGAAGACAGCTTTGAAGCTATTAGTGGGGCACGATGAGGAGTTGCTTAAGATAATTCCTGTACTTCTTGGCTGCAAGAAAGAGAATGTTGTAGAAGGAAACTTCATAGAGATGTCTGTTGTGAGTAGCATTGTAGACTTGATGAAAGAAACTGCATATAGCCATTTAATGGAGGTAAGCAACCTATCAATGGTATTGTTTATCTTTGTATTTGCCATTTTATTAATTTCCTGTATCATTTGTCTGTATGTGTGTGTATTGTTCCCACATATGAATTTGAATCGATGAAATAAATATTCCATCAGCAAAGAGAAGAAAAGTCATGACAATATGCTTTTTATAGCTATAATCTCAACAGACCAAATTAGACTGCTGCAATTTTCATTGAGATGTGATGTTTGTCCTGATGCATACAGTTAATTCCATTGAACATATGTCTTCTATTGATAATGTCCTGTTATGTGATAAACTCTATTAGCCTGGAAACATACAGCCACCGCTTTGAGAAAGTACATCTTTTCAAAGAACTCTTCATTTAACTGATATTATTTTGAATCCTCTTCCTTTGTTTTTTATGTTGATGGCATAAATAGTTATGAGACTTGTCATTTAGATATAACAGCAACTGAATGCTTACCCATTATAATTTCTTCATCTGTTTGTGAAACATGTACCAGTTTGTTATTTTTTGGTTTGCTAAAATTCCGAAAAATTTGCAGGTAATTCTGGAAGTGGCTCCCGAAAGCTTGTATAATGAAATGTTCACAAAAGTTTTCAGAAATTCATTGTTCCATCTTTCATCACATCAGTGTGCAAACTTTGTTGTTCAAGCATTGATTTCCCATGCAAGAGATCAAGATCAAGTATGTTTTCTATAACATGTGGATATACTTGTTCTTTATAGGTAGTAGTTCTTTTATTTTCATAAACTAATTACAACAGCTCTTGTACTACTTATTTTACTATCTCGCAGCTACCTTTACATTTTATACGTGCTGTCAACCTTTTGTGGATTTTTTATTTTTTCCCTCCTTTTGACTACTAGATGGAGTTTATCTGGAAGGAACTTGGTACAAAATTTAGGGAACTTATTGAAATGGGGAGGTCAGTGGTAATTGCTGCTCTTATTGCTGCATTTCAAAGACTCCATACTCATGAGCAAAAGGTCTAATATTGGTCCATTCATTTCATCTTTTCTAGTTTTGTATGCCTCTATATTTGAACTTCTGATGTTAATCAGCCTGGCAATAAACTTATAGTTATTATATTTAATGTCTTCCAGAATATGCAATTTAAGACATTAATGGAAATATAGTAACCCAAAATGAACCTTCTTTTGATGTGTAAATTCATATCTTAATTTTAACCATGATTATGTTTTTCTTTTTCCTGTTTGGCAGTGTTGTCAGGGTCTTGCTGCTGCTGTAGGTTAAACGAATGAGTCCCCAAGATCCATCATTCCGCGTATACTGTTTCTTGAAAGTTACTTTAGCTGTGAAGACAAGTCAAATTGGAATTGGCCAAATGGTTTTAAGATCCATGTTATTGGTTCTCTGATTCTGCAAGCAGTTTTTAAATTTCAAAGTGTATGCAGCCGTTCCATATTCATGTTTTTCCCCCCACTTTTTCCTGTTAATTGAATTTGCGTTGTTTTTTTAATTGGTTGCTATAAATATTAGTTGTCCATACTGAGGTTAATATGTGTAAAGGAACTTTTTACTTAATAGATATGTTTTTTTACATGAGACCACAAAAGAGTGAGTAATAAAATCAGTTATATGTTGCCTTCAAGATTAAGGCAGTTTACATTATGTGTGGAAAATATTAAAAAAAAAAAAATGTCATGTGTCACATACACAGTATGGTGCAGTGTGCCTCATTTGTACAAAAATATGCTGGCAATTCGCATGATGGTAAAAGATCAGATGCTTAGGACTGTGAGACTTGCTTTAAAGATGAGCATTGGACATGTATCTTCTGGAGCTTATTATCAAAGCTTGAACTAGATATCAGCTTGCTACATGATTTCTTGTATTAAAATGCCATATTTTGTGTCTGTTTCGCAGGAAAGAGATTGATAATTCCCTCGATTCTGCTGTGCCATGTTTGGACAAGGCAGACATGAAGCGGCACCCAGAGAAAGAAGGGCAGCAAACTGGGAAATATGCCAAACATGCCATGGCTGATGACATCTCAAGAGGCAAAAACAAGAAGAGGAAAAAGAATTTAGTTGCTTCTGAGCATACTGGTGCATCTGGTAAAGGAGCAGAAAGTGCGGTAAAGCCATTTCTCTGTGAAGACAGATCAGTAAAGAAACGACACAGAAAGGTTAGGCCATTGAAGTCTTCAAAGAAGTTAAAAGCTTGAAGGTTGGCCTGTATTCTCGTAGGACTATCGAATAGAGTTGAAACTGTAACTTAGTTGGAGAGTTTCATTGAGCGGCAAAAGATAAATGGTTGTGTACGCTCTTTACTGTTGAGTTGAAAAGAGTTTTTGTTGAATTGAAATTTTGTTTTTAGATGGTTTATCCAAATAGATTATCATAAGCTTCAGCTAACACCTAACAAATTATATTTGTCATATAAGCAATGTTTTAAAACCCAACACCGGGTGAAACTTGGTAAAGTTATTGGGTCTCAGGTTGACTGGTTTGACCAGTGGTCAAACAGGGTAACAAAAACTTTTAAAATTTAGCAAATACACCCCAATCGTCCCTTGAGCCCGTTCTTTTGAAAATCTACCCAATATTTGGTTGAAATTGAATGACGGCGGCGTTGACATTTCAGGTCAGATCTCATCAACACCAGCGTCGACAACCCTCTCCATTACCCTGAAAATACTCATCTCTTCCTCTCAACCAAAACCCACCTCACCCCACCCTCGTTAGCCTCGCCAGTCACTGGCAAAAGTCGGTTGTTATTGCTGTCAATTGTTTTCGATTTTTGGTCAATAAATACTCATCGGAAATCAACTCCGTCGCCACCGTTGAACTCATTGACACTTTCTTTTTAAAAGCCCCAACATCTCGACCTTCAATTGTTCGTCAATCATCATCCCAAATTCCAGGGTTTTTGGTGAATAAGAAAAACGTAAACCTGACTTGGTGAAGCTTCTGGGTCTCAGTTAAATCGAGTCGGACTCTAAAACAGTGAATATAAGTTTTAAGTATTACAATCAGTAAAATGTTGTAGAAACACCCTCTACTACTCAAAACTGCTTGCAATCTTCGTATTCCAATTTGGTTCTCTTATGTTAAGACTTGTTTTAGGTAGCTGACTAGCTGTGTTTCCATTCCAACCATTTGGATTTTCATTAAATGGGTAGGTATCCATTTACAGCACAACACATTAAACACCATGAAATCCTCAGACTACAAAAAGTTGCTTTTTTTATAAGTGGTTTTCAGAGTAATAAAATACCACTTTCCCGAATTTACCCTCCACACAAGGGCTTGTAACACTTCAAAATTTGGGATGTTGAATCCCAACCGTCAAATAATATCCAACGGTAGACACTAGTGCCAAGTCATTGATCCAAAATGAAAACAAAGAGCGCGGGCTTTGCAGAAACAATATGCGCCAAAAATTTTGGTTTTGGAAACCCAAATTTCATTTTCCCTCTCTGCAGTGTCTATTAATTTCGCTTAAATTCATTTCTATTTTCTCAATTGTTCTCTGAAAGAAGAAGAAGAAATGGCAGGTGGGTCGTCGAATTCAAACGCACCGAAGCCTCGAAAGAGAGTGGAGGCCGAATCTTCGGCTTCTTCTTCTCTTGTTCGTGCCAGAGATGGCAGCGCTTTCGCCAAATGGTAATTTTTTCTTTTTTGTTTCTGGTTTTTTTGGTAGGCTTTTTAAAGTTTTAGGGTTTTGAGTTAATGAGTGAGTTTGGATTTTTTGAAAAATGCAGTGAAGAGTGTAACAAGAGTGTTCCAGTGGTGCTAATTAGTATGCATAGTTGTAGTCTTGATGCTAAAATCAAGATGAATTTGGAGGCTCAAGTTGTGGAAAAGCCCACTGAAGTTAAGAAGAAATCTGTGGAAAGGAAGAAGCCAACTTCAACTGAACCAAAACCAAAGAGACTCAGAAAGGCTGCCAAAGATAATTCAAACAAGCCCAAACGCCCACCTACTGCTTTCTTCCTCTTCATGTAACTAATCTCTCTCTCTCTCTCGATTTTTGAATATTTTGACATTTAGGTAATTGGCTTTAGAGTAACAAGTGTTTCTTTGTTTGTTGCTATTCAGGGATGACTTTAGAAAAGAATACAAGGAAGCAAATCCCGAGTCCAAGGGTGTAAAAGAGGTGGGTGTGTTATATGTTTCTGAATTGGTGGTTCAATTATGGCATGTTCAATTTTAAGCATTGTGATTAAGTTTTGTGGGTTTGATTTTGTTTGATGAAATGTAGGTTGCGAAACAGGGTGGTGAGAGGTGGAATAATATGAGTGAAGAAGTAAGTTTAAATCTTCATGTTATTTAGTTCTGAAAGCTGTGCGGTAGTAGTAATGGACTTTTTGAGTTCTAATTTTGTTATTTATATTCATTTGTTTTAGGAGAAGAAGCCTTATCTTGACAAGGCTGCTGAGCTTAAAGCAGAGTATGGGAAAGCCTTGGAGAGTAATAATGATGCCGAAAATGGAGATGTAAGACTTGCATTATTATCTGTTTTTTTATGTGTTAAACATGCAGAGTTTTGTGCTGAAAGATTTGTCTGTTCGTGATTATTTAGGAGGAAGGAGGTTCAGGGAAGGAAGATGCTGTTGAGAAAGAGGATGAAGGTTCAGAGAAGGAAGACGCTAATGAGAAAGAGGATGTTGCAGAGAAGGAAGACGGTAATAAGAAAGAGGATGTTGCAGAGAAGGTTGAGCAAGAAGAGGAAGAAGTGTTAGATGATTATTAGATGGTAAGTAGGATATGATGCTTCCGGGAATCACATGTTAATTTTTGTCCTCGGAATTACTGTGGCCCTGTTCTGGGGCATTGTAAATTTTTATCTCCCTTAGTGAATGAATTTAATCAGATTTTTCAGATTTGGTCAAAGTTTTATGGTCTCTTAATCTTCAAGCATCATTCTGCAATTCACCAAATCGTAATCATGCATAATTGAATTAGTCTTCAAGCATCCTCTCTGTGATTTGCTGAATTGTAATAAGGTTTTGTTGCATTCATGACATTTGATTGTTTCAAATAGATCTATTTGAATACAGTAACTGGATAGATGATTGGTTATGGGCCAACTCTGTCCCTGTCTCCATTCTTGAGACAGGTTTCTTCGCCAAATGATTTTGTATCCTTTGATGTATATGCATGCCCCATTGTAATAAGTAGAGCTTTGAATCAATGGTTTCTACAATAATAATTCTTATTGATGAAATGGGAACTGGAAATAAGATAAAAAATGGACTATAAACTGTTGCAGTAAGCAGAAACCTATCCCTTCTATTACAAATTGCTCACATGGCATGAGCACTTATCTTTCGACAACGGAGTCAGCATTTTACTGGCCCATATTTGCTTCATTCTTTCCCCTACAAGGCGGCAAAGGCTTGCCACATAAACACAGATTGTGAGCATAAGCGCCTGCAGGGAAGATGTTGTATGGTCTCCCTTGTGGGATCTCTCCGCATAGTCTGTTTGCCCTGAAGTTTGCATGTCTCAGATCTTTAATCTCCAGCAGGCTGATTGGGATTTTCCCTGCAAGTGCATTGACCGATATATCAAGCCATTGCAGGTTTGACAGTAGCCCTAAGCTTGTAGGGATTGTGCCTGTTAATTGATTCCTCTGAATATCAAGCATTTCGAGTTCAATAAGATTTGATATTGAACTGGGAATGCGGCCCATAAGCCTGTTGCTTCCTATGTTGAGCACTTTCAAATTCAACCCTTCAGTGAATTCTGGAATCCCACCTGAGATTTGATTGCCTGCCACATTTAAATCCTCCAAAAAGCCGCTTGTCCTGTTGTTAATGATGGAAGAAAGAGACCCGAAAAGCTGATTTGTGTGAAGATCAATAGAAGTAACCCCCTCTGGAAATTTCATCTCTGCAAGATTAAACTTCAATTGATTGTTTGAGAGTTTGACCCTCTGCAAACTAGACATATTTGTGAAGAACCCTGAAATCCCATCTACAAATAAGTTATCCGACAGGTCGATGGAGCTTAACGAGTCTGATCTTGTGAACTTGGGGAGGGCTCCTCTTAGCTTACAGCCAGCAAGACTGACATCTGAAAGTGGTCTGTCTTTGATCCAATTTGGAATTGTACCTAAATTCAGGTTGTTGTAAGACAGGTCTATTGACAACAAAGAAGGAATGCCTCTGCCTGGAATAATTGGTAAAGGATCTGTGAGCCCATTTCTGGATAAATTAAGGTTCCAAAGGTTCTGTAATCTAGAAATGGAAACTGGAATGTGACCTATAAATTTGTTGGAACTCAACTGAAGAGTAGCAAGGGATTTTAGGCTTCCAATCTGATCAGGAATTGCTCCTGTGAGCTGGTTATGGCTTAACGACAAGTCTTGCAGTTTGGCCAAGCCGCAAATGGAAATGGGGAATTTGCCAGATAGAAGATTTTTGGAAAGGTCAAAGTAAGTAAGGTTTTGGGACATTCCAAAACAATCTGGAATGAACCCAGATAGTAGATTGGCACTAAGGTCAAGAGACTGCAAGCCAACAAAGTTGCGAAAAGTGGGAGGAATTGGACCTGTCAGAGAATTTCTAGCTAAATTTACCATAACAAGGTTTCTCAAATTCCCAAGGCTTGGAGGAATGTTCCCCCTCAAACGGTTACCACTCAATGAGAGAGTTTGGAGTAAAGACAAATGAGCTAAACCTGGAGGAATGTTCCCTTCAAGAGAATTGTCTTCTAAGATCAACTGTGTAAGGTGGCTTAAATTTGAGAAGCTCTCGGGAATTGGACCTGTAATATGCTTCATGCCACTAATGACCATCGCCTCCAAGAAATGTAAATTAGCAAGAGAAGGTGACAGAATGCCCTTCATGTACATGCCATTCTCCTTCTCAGGTCTCTGCAAAGCCAAAGAAACAACTCTCCCTGTAGCTGGATTACATTGAACACCCTCCCAATCCCCTCCACAGCAGTCTCTTCCCACCCAGGAAGAAAGAATATCAGTAGTATCCTTCAAGATTTTGGCTTTAAATCCCAGAAGAGCAACTCTATCTTCTTCAAAGCAAAGTGGAGGAGTCGCTGATTGTGACGGTGACCCCTCCTCAGCTAGTGACGAGTACACTGAAAACATACCACAAATCAACAAAACCTTACAAACCCATCTCAGAATCTGCATTTTGAGAAGTGGGTAGTGATCAGATCAGAGAATTTCCTCCAAAATATATATATAAAAAAGAAGAAAACTTTGGCAGAATGAAAAATATATTCTATCACAAACACAAAAGTAGGGAAACTAGTTGTAAAGGAAACATGGTGTTTGTTTGTTTATTCTATTTCTTCACGTAGACAGGAAGGTATAATGATGAAAAAGATATTAGAAAAACCTAAAAAAAAAAATAAAACTAATTGAAACTTGCTCAAGAACCTGAAGAATATAGTCACATATTTATAGTAACTAAAGAAACTAAAGAAAAAGAACTTTACAAAGAGACTGTTGAAATGAGATTAAAGACATTCACATGGAAATTTGTGACCGTTTGATGGATCACGAGGGGGTCCTAATTACTTTTGAACGTTGGAGCGCAGTAGATTTCAAATTCTATCAAAAACAAAATACTTTTTTGAAAACAAATCAATCACAGGTGTGAATTAATATGAACTTTCGTTCACGTTCTGGGTTTGATCTCTTTTGTTTTGTATTGTCCGTGTGTGTGTGTGTGTGTACACCATTAATGTTGATGGTGAAACTCAGGTGATCAAACACTCCATGTGGGCTCTCATTATTTTGCAACTTGATGGCCTCCACAATTCAACCATTTCTCTAAATAGTCAATTCCCATTAGCTTATTTATCTCTTCCATAATTGAGTTTTAATGGCCTTCCAAATCATCCCACTTTGAAAACCTCGCATCTTAACTTGTATAATAATAATAAAAAAATTATGGGTTCAGATACAAAGTTGAGATTCCAACTTAAAACGTATAAATTTTCAAGAGTTTGATTTCTAAAGGGATTTACAACGATATTACTCCCTTTAAAAAGAAGGCCATGAAAACAAATTTACCTTCTTCTACAATTAGAAATTGTTACCGTTATGTCTGTGTTTTTGAATTTGTGATACAAAGTTGACAAAAAGTAATCATTAAAAAATGTTAAAAGAAGGAAGTTGACAAAGTAAAGAAAGTAAGTGGTTTAGATTCATTTGAACTTCAGTGAGCTTCATGTTGCATCCTCCACCATATAATTTCTCTGTAAATTAACATAGAAATGGAGGATATATAATGAACAGGAAGATTGAATAAAAAAATTTCTACAGTTGCACATTTTTCTAGACATTCTTTACAGTGTGAATGTAATTTAGTCAGAGTTGTTGAAAATTTGAGAGGAGTTTGTCAAACGATTAAATCATCCTTGAATTTTGACTCTAATAAATCTTTCCCTGTTTTTAACATAAGATTATTATCCTAATTCTTCTTAATCAAATTGTCTTATTGGCTGTCTAATCAAACGAAAATTAAATTAAGGGGACAATGAATCAACCACTTTGTGGGGGAGTGCTGGGAATGAAAGTACTGATGGGTCCATAAATTTTGCCGTTTCTAAACCATTTTTGTGAGTAATTTCTTGGTGTTTGAGCTCACTGCTATTGCTAGCTGGAAGGATTCCACTATCATCATCTCTATCTCTCCACTCTTCCATCCTTTGCTATCATTCACAATCTTGGTGTTGTGTTGTCTTTTATGATGAAATTTAATTAATCACCCTTTTATCTAGACTTAAATGACAATTTATTGCTTATCAATACATAATTACATTTATATAATATTCTCATATTATAAATATTACGGTTCTTTCTATACTAAATCCTTATGTGTTTGGTCTTTTATGCAATGAGCACTCGTTATTTTTGGAAATGCAATCCTAACTCTCGTGTGTTTAACCTTTTATAGTTTTATGTAATAAGCACT